CAGTCAATCTGATGGAGGCGGTCTCTCAGCTGAAGTTCCCTCTCCCCAGATTCCCCTGGCTTGTGTCAAGGTGGAAAAGCAAAACAAAACAGAACAAAAAACTAAGACAGGGCCTCTCAAAAGAAAAGTAGAGCTGGCCCTGGTGGTGAGAGTGTGGATAACTCGGATCTGAGGACCTGAGAGCCTGAGAACTGGCCCGCTCCGCGATGCAGCCAGCCCGCTTTGGGTGAGCTAATGGAGGTAGTGCTGGAGAGCTCGCCCTGGTAATAATGATGAGGGAAAGCTGGTGGGCTGACCAACCCAGCTACCACCCGGGGCCCAGAACCAGGGCTAAGAGTTGGCCCACCCCAGCATCCACCTCAACTGTGAACTGCAGGGGCATTTAAGGGGACAAAACAGCAGGATCTCCATGACAAAGGACAACAAACAACAGGATAGCCAAGAGAAACCCCAGTGAGAGCCCATTATTGGTAGCATAGCAGAAACCAGAGGCTTCCAGCCAGACCAATGACTTGTGGTGATGAATACTTTCAAGATGAATGGACTAAAGAGTAACTAACTGTGTGACTCAAAGGGCCACACTATAGCTTCCATGACAAGAGTCTCTCCTCCCTCCCTCCCTCCCTGTCTCTCCCTCTCTGTCTTCCTCTCTCTCTTTCCCTCCCTCTGTCTCCCTCCTCTCTCTCTCTCTTCCTCTCTTTCCCTTTCTTCTCTCTCTCCTTCTCCTTGTTTCTCTCCCCCTCTCTCTCTGTCTTCCTCTCTCTCTCCCTCTCTTTCCTTCTCTCTCTCCTTCGCCCACCACTCTCTCTCTCCCTCTCCCTCTCTCGCTCTGTTTCTCCCTCTCTCTCCCTCTCTCTTCCTCTCCCTCTCCCTGTCTCTCTCCCCTCTCCCTCTCTCTCCTTCCTCCCCCCCCTCATTTCTTTGTTTTGTTTGGTTTTGGGATTTTCTTTCACATTTGGTTTTGTTTTGGGGGGAGGTTGCATGAGCAGAGAGGGTAGATTAGAGGGGATGGGGAGATAAGTGGGATCAGAATGCATGATGTGAAATCCACAAAAAAAAAAAAATCAATAAAAGTTTAAAAAAAATAGCATTTTATTGTCTTTACAATAGTCAGGTACACCATTCTGGTGACTTCTGAAGTTATTGTCTTTAATGAGTTTGTCAGAAACCTAAGTGAAGTCACAGGTGGTTCCTGAGGGGCACCTGGGTCACAGGAATGTAGTGAAACAGGATGTTTCTACTGTAAGCAAAACCTGACTGGTGAGAATCCCAGAAAATGTCCTGGAGAGGAGAGGAACAAGGCCCTACTGGTTCACTATTATTATTTATTGTTATCATTTTTTGGGTTTTTTTTTTTTTTTTTTTTTTTTTTTTTTTTTTTTGAGACAGGGTTTCTCTGTGTAGCCCTGGCTGTCCTAGAACTTGCTCTGTAGATCAGGCTGGCCTCAAACTCAGAGATCCTCCTGCCTCTGCCTCCTGAGCGCTAAGATTAAAGGTGTGTTTGCCATCACACCTGGTTTTTCATTATTATTGTAAAGCAAAATACATATAAATGAAAATAATATTAGCTCTTTGTCCTCAATCTTCATATCAAATATTATTTGTATAGGAATTATTGATTCTTAACCAGTAAGAGACCTCAGCCAGACTTCAGGGTGATAAGTTTCTTTTCCTTTGTTTGTCCTCATAATTTTCCTGTCCCAGGATCATAACATGTTTTAAAAGGTAAAAATGACTGCAAAAACCATATAGACCCAGCTAGCAAGATGGCCAAATGAATAAAAGTGCTTGTCACTAAGCCTACAGAACCAGCTTCAGTTACTGGGATCCACATGGTAGCAGGAGAGACTGATTCCTGAGAGTTGTCCCCCAGGGGATCGATGTCTCCTGAGAATTACCTTCTGACCTCCACACACATGCAGAGGCATGAAGGTGCCTGCACTCACACATATGTACAAACAAAACAGATAAAACAAATGTTCTGTTGAGACACAAAACTTTCTTCCCAGCATGTTGGTATCACTCTTATTTGATTGCTTGACAATACAGAAGACAATTGGTCCTAAATGTTCTTTTACATCATAGAGATGTCTTCCTGTTTGTATTTATCTTTCAGTGGAAAAAAATGCAATAATTACTAAGAAATCTAGTTGTCTAAAATGAGTATCATCAGAAAACAAATTAAAAGACAAATGACAGCTGGAAAAATATTTATAACAGAGAATTAGGAGATGATGGGGCTTGGTGGTTAAGAACATTTGCTGTTCTTCCTCAGTTCAGTCCCCAGCACCCACACCACACAGCTCATAACCTTCCATAAGTCCAGTTCCTGGGGATCTGATGCCTCTGTTGGCACCAAGCATGTGTGTAGTGCAGTCAAAACACTCATATACATAAAATTAGATTAATTTTTTAAGTTAAAAAACAACGGGCTGGAGAGATGGCTCTGCAGTTAAAAGCATTGACTGCTCTTCCAGAGGACCCAGGTTCAATTCCTAGCTCCCACATGGCAGCTCACAACTGTCTGTAGTTCCAGTTCCAAGGGATATGACACCCTCACACAGACATACATGCAGGCAAAACATCAGTGCACATTAAAAAAAAAAAAAGGAAACAAACAAAAAAAGCAAAAAACAACAACAAAAAAGAAAAACAACAAACTCCAAAACCTAGCCTAGCATGATGGTGTATGCCTTTAATCCCAGCACTCTGGAGGCAGAACCAGACATATATCTCTGTTCAAAGCCATCCTGGTCTACAAAGTGAGTTCCAGGACTGCCAAGGCACAGAGACAGCCTGTCTCAGCAAAACATACTCAAACCCCCAGCATAGTTGGCCAGGCCTGAAGGCACATACCTTTAATTCCCAGCATTCAGGCATTGGCAGAGGCTTATAGAGCTCTATACATTTGGGCTAGCTTGGTCTACATAGTAAGTTTCAGTTAGGGTTACACAGTAAGACCTAGTCTCAAAAACAGAAACAAATAAAAACAACAAGAACCCCTCAGCCCGATGGTACACACCTGAGTTCCCCGCACTAGAAGAGGAAAGCAGAAGGACAGTGAGTTCCAGGACAGCTTGGAAATACATATATTCTAGTTGGATTCTCTCTCTCTCTCTCTCTCTCTCTCTCTCTCTCTCTCTCTCTCACACACACACACACACACACACACACACACACACACACACGGCTGGTATGGTGTCAAAGCCTGCAATCTCAGCATTTAAGTGAAGACAGGATGGTCAGGAGTTTAAGGACAGCCTCTGCAGGAGTTTGAGGCCTTAATGAGTCCTAGGAGAGACTTTCTCAGAAAACAAACAAGACACCGAAGTGTGTGAACTGAGATCTGTCCTCTCAAAACCCACATGGTAAAATAGCTCCTGGATGAAGTCTCTAGCCTCCATTCCTGCACCCTGGCATGCCTGTGCTCCCCAGGCTCACACACATAAATAAAAGTTGAAAACAACAAAAGAGAAACTGGCAGCCCTGCCCCTGCACTACTGGCTTCCTGGAGGGCTAAAGCTCTTTCGTACCTGCACAACTCCCTAACCTGAAGCTCTTGTTTAAGTTTTACCATCACCATGAGTCCTGCCCTGACTACCTGGCTCAAACTCCCAACCTGTCCCCATTGAGTTTGACCACGCTGGATTTCCTAAAGTGTTTGTAGTATATGCTATAGCTCCCATTGCATATTAAGCAGCTTTCTCACATCTGTTTCCTCCTGATAAATGAACTCTGCTAGGACAACGCTTTTATCTATGCTAACATATATCAGAGCCCGAAAAGGTCCCAGCACAAGCTATGTCCTCAATAAATATTTGTGAAATAACTGAAGTTTTAAAAACAGCTTGGGCTGGAGATGTGGTGGTGTAGTCAGGCATTTGGGAGACCTTGGGTTCCATGCTTAACGCCTCAATACAATTCCTACTTTGCCTTTTTATTTTAAAGTATAACAGACATATGCATACACAGTAGAAGAAAATATTTCAAAATGTTAATGGTCATTTCCGGTTTTTTCCCCCTTCTTTGTGTTTTCCTGTGGATTTATTCCTGAAATCCTATGTCAAAAAACGGGCTGTTTTTTGGGAAGCATGCTAGTGCACACCTATAGTCTAGCACTCAGCATCGCAATTTCCATACCAACTTGAGGTACATAATAGAGACAAAATACAAGGAGCGTGTTTGAAATAGTTCAGTGAGTAACTGAGTGCCCGTCACCACCACTACAGATGACCTGAGTTCGAGCTGCGGAGGCCCATACCATAGAGAGCAGGAACCGACTGTCTCATGTTGTCTTCTGATCTACAACACACACACACACACACACACACACACACACACACACACCACTTAGTGAATAATAAAGAAAAATGCAAATTGCAAAGCTCCACATTTAAAACAGTATTATTTTATCATGAGAACTGCTTTCTAAACCTTTTGTATTCAACATCACAGAGCGAATCGTTCTTCCTGTGAATTTTATAAATCCGTTTTCCTGGATGAAGCGCATCAGAAATTGGAGCGGTATTGATGCAATGTATATTGCAAGGACATACTGTGAAAAATATTGCTTTTATTTTGTGGTAAACATTGCTGAAAGGAATAAATATCCATGCCTCGCCCATCCAAGGCAACATCCCCAGGGAACACACCCACCTAGCAACCAGGAGCAGAGCAGAAGAGCAGCTCTGCGCCTTTAATTCCGTGGCTGGGGTGGGGGCAGCCCGGAGAGGTTCCGCTCCCCCATTCCTTCCGCACCTCCAGTGGCAGCTGTCACCTGTAAGCCGAGCGCCGCTCAGGGGCATGGAGCCCAGCACCCATTGGACAGGACCTCTGGGCAGCAACCTACCCCCCAGGCTGGGTGCCCGGCCAGGAGCAGGCAGAGGGCAGGAGTCCCAAGTGCCCTTCGCCCGGAGACATCCCAGTGAAGCAGGGAGGGCGTGACTGCAGTCCAGCTTCGGGGATCAGAGCCTCAGGTGAGCCTGGCGAGGCGACTGGGGCGACCCCGGAGCCGCAGGAACCAAGCATGGCGCTGGCAGCCGCAGCCGCTGCCGCCGCCGCAGCAGCAGGGGTGAGCCAGGCGGCGGTGCTGGGCTTCCTTTTAGAGCGCGGCGGGCAGGTGCGCAACTCCGAGCTGCTGAGCCGCTTCAAGCCGCTGCTGGACGCTGGGGACCCGCGCGGCCGCGCAGCCCGCAGGGACCGCTTCAAGAAGTTCGTCAACAACGTGGCGGTGGTGAAGGAGCTGGACGGGGTCAAATTCGTGGTGCTGAGAAAGAAGCCGCGGCCGCCGGAAGAACCAGAGCCCCCGCACCCCTCCAGCCTTGGGGTGCCAGCCACGCAGGTAGCGTGCACTGCCGTCCCAGCGGAGGACAACTGCGTTCCTGAAGCTCCCCTCTCCCCACAGCCGTCCGAGGAACAGCTGGAGGACTTGTCCGCACCATCGGAGCTACCGAATCCCTCAGGGACCCCACCCTCAGGGGTCACCCAGCTTGGGGCTCCATCAGGCTCAGCGCCACAGCCCGGGGGACCCGAGGATCAGGAGCTACCCTCGCCCTCGGAGGTAGCCTCCGAGGTAGCCGCACCGGCCAATGTGCCATCCGGGGCAATCTCGCCGAGCACAGAGTCGCCGAACCCAGAGCCTGCACCTCCCTTGGCGCAAGTGCCACCGCAGAAGCCCTGCATGCTACCGGTGCGCTGCGTGGTCCCCGGCCCCGCGGCGCTGAGGATCCGCGCGGAGGAGCAAGGCCTACGCCGGCAGCGGTCGGAGGAGCCGAGCCCGCGGGCCTCCCCGATGCTTCTGCGGCGGCTCTCGGTAGAGGAGTCGGGTCTGGGCCTCCACCTGGGACCTGGTCGCTCACCTCATCTCAGGCGCCTGTCGCGCGCGGGCCCGCGCCTGCTGAGCCCGGACATGGAGGAGGTGCCTGCCGCGCCGCCGCCGCCGCCCGCGGTGCCCCTGGAGCCCACGGAGCATGAGTGGCTGGTGCGCACGGCCAGCGGCCATTGGAGCCACCATCTGCACGGGCTGCTCTTGCGGGACCGCGGCCTGGCTGCCAAGCGTGACTTCATGTCGGGCTTCACCGCCCTACACTGGGCAGCTAAGAGCGGCGACCGGGAGATGGCTCTGCAGTTGGTGGAGGTCGCCCGGCGTGGGGGCGCGCCCGTGGACGTGAACGCGCGCTCGCACGGTGGCTACACGCCGCTGCACCTGGCGGCCCTGCACGGCCACGAGGATGCAGCCGTGCTGTTAGTGGTGCGTCTGGGCGCCCAAGTGAACGTCCGCGACCACAGCGGCCGTCGCGCCTACCAGTATCTGCGGCCTGGCTCCTCCTACGCGCTGCGGCGTTTACTTGGTGATCCCCGCCTGAGAGCTACCACCGAGCTTGAAGCAGCCAGTGGTGGCAGTGGGAGTCTTGTGTCGCGGCACCCTGTGCAGGTGGCTGCCACCATCCTGGGCTCCACTACTAGCGCGTTTCTGGGCGTCCTGGCTGACGACTTGATACTCCAGGACCTGGCCCGTGGCTTGAAGAAGTCAAGCTCCTTCAGCAAGTTCTTGGGTGCCTCGCCCATGGCTCCCCGCAAAAAAACCAAGATCCGTGGTGGCCTACCATCCTTCACTGAAATCTCTCGTCGACATACCCCGGGGCCTTTAGCTGGTTTAGTGCCCAGTCTGCCCCCTCCAACCTGAATGGCCTTGTAGCTATCAATGCCTTGGTTGACCTACCAGGGCCTGTGCCATACCATCTAAGCCCGTCCAAGACAGGCCCAGCACCTGCAGCCTGTCTCACTTCCAACTTTACCCAGTGCAGCCTATTGTACCCAGATGAGGCTCTAATGTCTGTCTGAACTTTGATGTGCCTACAGATGGGATTCTAGTCCCCTGGGAGAGGTCCCTTTGAAGAAACCAAGCAGTCAGGCCTGAACTTGGGAGGAGACTTGAAGTTTAGGGTCAAAGGTTAAGGGGCAGCAGCTGGTCTGGCCCCTGGAGGTGTTAACCAGAGGCCTCTGCGTGGACAGATTCCTAAATCAGAATTAGGACCAGGCTCTCTAGATGTTCAAAGATGACGAGTTTAAGGTCTATAATGGCTTGCTACTTTTATTCTGTTTTTAAATTGAAATGAGGTACAGAAACTTTGATAATACCTTCTTGAAGTTCTTTTTTTTTTTTCTTTCTACTTTTAAGCAAAGTAGAAAGACATTTTCAGTCTTTTGCTGACTATTTGGGAAATCTATCTTTTAAAAAGAGATGGTTGAGTCTAAAGGAAATTTAATTCTAGCCAACAGCACGAATTAAGTTTATCTACCTCATTGTAGGCAGTACAGATTGAACCCAAAATAACCATCATGGCCCTAATGAATGTACTGTGAATGTCAAATATTAAAAAACAAGTGTGCGATTGGGCGTGGTGGCCACATCTTCATCCTAGCACTTCGGAGGCAGAGGCAGGCAGATCTCTGTGAGTTCTAGACCAGCCTGGTGTACAGACTGAGTTCCAGGACAACCAGGGCTATACAGAGAACTGTCTCAAACCAAAACAAATAACCCCCCATCTCTCCCAGAACAAAACAAAACAAAATAAAAAACAAACAAACAAAAAACCCTGAAAGAATTACATCTTGAGGGTAAACATGCTTTAACAGAGAAAAGAGACATTTTGGTAAATAATGGTAAACTACTATGAAATGTAAATGTGTTTCCCACTAACTGGTGGCTACTTTGATTTGGCATGAAATTTTAATTTTTTTAACTGTGATTTAATTGTGAATTTTGAATCTGTGATTTTTAGTGCAATGGGTGACTATTCAAAAAAATTATTACAGAAAAAAATCTGGTTAATAGTAATTGTTACTCTTTTATATAAAAGTGCTGAATAAATAAGTGTATGATGTCTTTTAAAAAAAAAAACCAACAACATTTGAAATAGCAAATGCAGAAGCTTAGTCCAGTGATCTAGAATGAGCAGTGTGACTTCTGGACCGTTGTTCCTTCCTATAAATGGGGCAGGCTTGTGGGTATTCCCAAGATTTCTGGTTGGGCATAGTAGAATCCTATTAGTACCCTGTCCCCCCCTTTTTTTTTTAAAAATGTGAAACCTATTTGCTCAGTCAACTTTTTGTATCCTATCATGATATTGCTCTGTTTTTGAAAATTATATTTGCATGCTATCAGTCATACTGAATGGTTCTTGTGGCACAGGGGCGTGTGGCTTCATCCCTACCAATATTCGTTAGTGAGACCTTTGAAATCATTAAAGATAGTCCAGCAATCATTCAAAGAATGATTTTAAGCAATGAAATAAACAGTTCCTGTTTTTATTTCTGCTTGTGTGAGGTGCACTTCTCTTAGCTACAGTTGCTTTTCCTTATTTTAAAAGATGTTATTATTGGGCCTGGAGAACTGGCTCAGCAATTAAAAGCATATAATGCTCTAGCAATAGGCTCTGGTTTGGTTCCCAGCATCCATGTAAGGCATCTCCAACCTTCTGTAACTCTGGACTTCATACTTCTACATAGGCACACACACCCACCCATACACACATACAAAAATAATGTTATCCTTTAAAATGTTATTGTCTTATTGTATGTGAGAAGGAGGAACTGTGGACACTCATGTGTCACAGAGTGCCTGTTGAAGTCAGAAGACAACTTCCACTGGTGGGTTCTCTCCTTCCACTGTGAGATCCAGGATCCAATGCAAGTTGTCAGGCTTGCAGGGCAAGCACTTTACCTTGTAGACCATGATGCACCACACACAGCACCTCCACCCTCCACCCCACCCCACCCTGGCTACCTGGGGCTAGAGATTGTCTCCCTTACTAGGCAAGCATTACCCACTAGCCACATCCTGATCCTGTTTTGTCTGTGTAATGCCTTCCCTTTCCCTTAACTTTCCCCTGCCACTATCAAGCATTCTTCATCTAAAGAGCTCAGATTTCTCTGCAAAAGACTCAATCACACAGGCATTAGAGCCACAAATCATGGATAAATGCAGGCCCTTGGTTGATCCATTCTACTTCCCCCACCTGGAACACTAGTTGGCATGAATTATTTTAAAATGCAAATGAAATCTTCTGCCTTTGCAGAAAAATTGTGGGGAGGCAATAATCATAGCAATTTGCATAGCTGAAGTTCCAGGAGACAGAATGAGACATTAGAGATTTTCTGTGGTGAAGGAAAAGCCTGACTGGGATGGGTTGACAAAGGTCCCAGGCATAGAGACCTTGAGAGACAAGATCCCAGTAAAAAGAAGCAGCAATTACTGAGAATTTGCCTCCCAGGAGAGCTATTTTAGCTGCCATAAGAACCTTCATATTTCTGCAAACCTCCAAGTGAAATAAATCATTTGCTAACAGTTAAGAATGAATAAACCCACAGCTCAGGTGTTAGGAACCATTACTGTTTCCTTACAGGCCAAGACTATTCTGGAACTGTGAGGGAAGTCAGTGAGAATGACAGCATGTGGGAAGTTTTCAAAGAACCATTTATTTATTTATTTATTTATTATTGGTTTTTCAAGACTGGGTTTTTCTGTGTAGCTTTGGAACCTATCCTGGCACTCCCTCTGTAGCCCATGCTGGCCTCAAACTCACAAAGATCTGCTTGCCTCTGCCTCCCAAGTGCTGGGATTAAAGGCATGTGCCACCACCACCTGGCTTATTTATTTTTTAAAAGAAAATCATAAGTTGGGGATGGGAGAGAGCACTGCGTTGGTAACATGCTTGCTTTGTACACAGATGAGCCTAAATTAGATTAAGAATACACATTAAAAAAAATCAAGGTAGTTCGGTATAGTGGCACCTGCCTTTAATCCCATCACTTGGGAGGCAGAGGCAGGTAGATCTCTGTGAGTTCAGGTCAACCTGGTCTACAGAGTGAATTACAGGAGTCAGGGCAACATAGAGGGACCCTGTTGCAAAAAACAAAACAAAGTCTCGGTGCCGGAGTGGGAGAGGTGGCTCGGGGGTTAAGAGCACTGACTGCTCTTCCAGAGGACCCAGCTTTGGTTCCCAGCACCTATATGGTGGCTTCAGTTCAAGAGATCAGACATCTTTTCTGACTTCCATAGGCACCAGACACTCAAATGCATACAGGCAAAATGCTCATGCACTAAATAAATAAATAAAATCTGAATAATTTTAAGCTTATTTTTTCATTTTGTATAGTGTTAGGCCTGCATGCATGTCTGCAGACCATTAGAGGGAGCCAGAACTCATAACATGATTGTGAGTCACCATGTGGGTACTGGGAATTGAACTCAGGACCTCTGGAAGAGCAGCCAGTGCTCTTAACTGCTGAGCCATCTCTCCAGTCCCAATCTGAATAAATTTTAAAGGCCAGCTGTGGTAGCATGCCTTTGTAATCTCGGTGCTGGGGAACCTGAAACTCACTGGCTTGCCAGCCTAGCCTCTGGTGAGTTCCAGGCTACTGAGCGACCCTGACTAACAAAACAAAAATCCACAGGGAATAAAAAGCAAAACAAATGAAAAAACACAAGTGGACAACATCTAAGGAAAAGCATCCGAGATTGTCTTTTGGCAACCATATACATGGGAAAACATGTGCATGTATACACACATTTGTACCTACATGCACATAACACACACCCACCATGAAGTATACCCAGATGCTCATAAATAAATAAATGTAACAGAAAAATGAATTTTTAAGGAAATTTAGGTGGTAAAAGTTGTCAGAGGAGGAAAATGAGCCCTTTTAGTGGAAGACAAGTTAATTGTTGTAGATGTATGTGAGTCACACCACAGCAAACTTGCTAATGTGTTTTACATTGCCTTTGATGGGGGTGGAGCTTATTCTTGAACAAGCCTCCCATGCCTGATGAAGATTCAGGCACATGTAATGCATGTGTAAGCTGTGTCTGTTAAGTATGTCCCAGGCACAGTTTTAATATGTCACAGTTATTAAGCAAGCCTTGTGTATGGTATAGTCTCTATATGTTTTCCTCACCCCATTTGTGTGTGTGTTTGTGCACATGCATGTACATACATATTTGCATGTGTATAGGCACATATATGGGTGATACATGTAGGTGCACATACATGTGGAGGCCTGGGGTTGACAGCTGAAATAATTTTCCGTCATTCTCTCACCTTGTGCAGTGAGTCAGGGTCTCTCAGTCAACCGAGAATTCATGGATGTGGCTAGTCTCACCCTAGCCAGCTAGCCCTCAGGATCCTCTGTCTCTGCCTTCCGAGGCTGGAATTACATGTGGGCCACCATGCCCACCTGGCATTAATATGGGCTCTGGAGATCTGAACTCTAGTCTTTGTGCTTGCTCAGCAAACTCTTAAGTACTGAGCCATGCATGTCCCCAGCCCATCAGTGTCTAGATTTTAAGTTAGCAAAGTGAAGGCTGCAAACATCGGAAGATCTTGTCCAGGCTCACTTCCAGTAAGTGGCAGAGTAGCATCTTGGCCTCATCCGGAAGATACCTATTGACTGTGATGGTTAGTGCTAGCAGCTTGTAAGAACCTAGTATCAACTGAGAGATGGATCCCTGGGCGTGCCTGTGGGATTACCTTGATTGTATTAATTGATCTTAATTGTGGGTGGAACCACTCCTTGGGCAGGGAATCCTGGACTGAGTGAAATGGGAAAAGGGAGCTGAGCAGCAACATTTGTGCTTTCCATCTCTCTCCGTTTCCTGATTGTACACACAGCGTGCTACTTGAG